CTGAGCATAGCCTTGGTGGGATTGAAATTATGTTGAAGTAACTGAATAGCAATGACCAATGAGAAGAGTCGAGATTATTTGAAATCAAAATCAAACACAGTGTTTCACATATATTACACAATTTCGTAAAGAGTATTAAGAGGCGACATTGCGACTAATGTTGAGATGTCCCGCTGATTTAAAATATTTTTTTGAAAAAAAAAAACTGCGAAAGACTATCCTTTTGCTAGGTCAAGTCCAGAACGCGGGACTGTCTATAGCAAACACTGTAAGTCTTTCAAATTCATTCAATTCAATTTCAAAATCAAGTGTAATTATGCACACATATTGTGTACTTTTTTGGCTCTAGTTAAAGGTAGTATCCGGGCAAATTTAAGGGTTTTCATTTCTCACTATATTCTGATGGCCGATCCCCGAACTAAGCTAATGTCAAGCTAACTCCCGATGTTCAAACGAACAATTCACAGTGGTAAGCAAAAAAACCCCTCCAGAGTTTAAGTCCTCCCATTCAGTAATTTCCTCCTTAGTACCGCCGGTGTTTCGCTTTTCTCAAAAGCAGTCTTTAGCGAGAGAAGCATGCCATCGTTCCACCAGACACTCTTTTGTCAATCAAAAAGAAGGCCCGCAATCTCTGTTTTTTGTTTTCGTGTTCAGCACAACGGAATGGTTCATAAGAGCTGAAACCGGAGTCGAAAATTTGCCCGGAATATTAGAAGAGTGAACAGGTGTAATCATAGAAAATCAAGTATCAAACATGGACCAAAATTGATTCCGAAAAAAGATGCAAGGAGCAACAGTAATCCGTTTGATACCTTGTCGAAAGAGGAGAATGCCTTCGTTTTGCATGTAACCATAAGCTTCTTTTCGTCCAATTTCACGATAGACTTGGCATTATCTGCTTTTTCAGAATCGTTCATAGGTCTAAAAAAGATATTAATGTGCTTTTAATTTAAAAAAAATAAGATGTTTTCACTTACCTTACTCTCACCGCAACACGCACATTGATTTTACTCTCGACCTTTTTAGTGGTGGACATTTTCAATTACAGGGCTGTAGCAAATGCTAGAATGAAGTAAAATGATAATGCTTGCAAATACATATACATACATCCAAGCCGAGATATTGTCGCACGGGAAAAAATCACACGTAAGATATGTAATTCTTACAACAAAAGTACGTCTAAAGGAAAATAAGTTATTTTAAGGTTAATGTTATAGGGTCAAAGATTCAAAAAGAAGTGGAGAAGAAAAAAATCCGAAGGCTGCTGCGCATATGCAACTGGCAAACAAAACTACAATGCCCTTCTAATGATTTGGACTTTCTTTTAAATTCATTTACTTCATATTACGAGTACGTGGGCAACATGCAAGCACGCTTGCAATGCAGATAGAAGCTTCACAAATTGGAGTCTGTACATCTTTAAAACGTCTCCAGCACTTCTAGTCCTGACTGCCTTTTCTTGTATACAAGTGTACACTTGACATTAAATTATTAACAATATTTGGCTTAGAACAAGGACTTTAGCCATTCAGTAGTTCAACCAACGCTTGTGATAATTTTGCCAAAAGGATTTAGATCCATTTACGGAAAATATGCAATGATGCTGCCAGCTAGTCATGTATACGAGTTGTTTCTAACAAGTGCTGGTCCTTATATGCAAAAAATCTGCACCGAACACTGCTTCATGGGCCTATGCCCAGTTAAGGTTCATGATTCCGTTATTTTGACTGCTTGAAAAAATTAAGGAGAAAGAACGCCAATCGAATAGCTTCACAATACTAGTCCTAAGTCCGATGAGTTGACAAAATTGCAGAGAAGAAAGAAAATTGAGAAATCTAGGAATTCGA